CCCTCCACCAAAAATAGCCAGCGCCAACCAGCTAGTCCTTTTGCGCCATGGAGATTTGTGAGACCGTACGCCAGTAGCCCGCCGAATGCACCGCTTAGTGCAGATGCAACAAAGAGGTAAGACACCCTCCGCGCTTGCTCCAGAGGCTTGTAGTACATACTCAGGTACAACGTCAAGCACGGAAACAGGCCGGATTCGAAGGCACCGAGGAGCAGGCGGGTAGCGATGAGAGAGGCGTAGTTCTCGATGAAAGCAGCCCCGATAATGACAGCGCTCCAGCCGATGATGAATGTTGGAATTAGGCGGGATGGTCGCAGCTTCTTCAACAATATAGAGGCTGGAACCTCGAAGGCGATGTAGGTGACGTAGAAGAGCGTTACGGCAACGTTGAGACGGTTGCCGGTGAGTCCCAGATCCTCGTTCATGCCTGCGATGGCAGCATTTCCTGAGCGCTATCAGCAAATGACCTTGTAAATTATCATTGCGAGATGTGTGTACCGATGTTGGACCGGTCGAGGTAGGCCACCTGAAGCACACTTGTTAGGCTCGTTGTAGTGGATGAGGGTTTGTATGCATACCAGAAACACCAACACCATCATCGGAGATAAAATGAGGTCCAGTTTGCGAATGAGCTGTTGATCTTAGTTAGCACGTGATAGCCAGTTTTGCGTGCATTGCTTGTACCTTCTTCTCAGCGACTGGATCAATATGGATCTCTTCGCTAGCGCCAATTTGGGTATCCTTCTCGTGAACTGAGCCATCAAAGGTCTTATCATCCGGGGTTGGATGCGACATGGTGTGGGTGGTGTCGTCTTCCGCGGCTAGACGAGACGGAAAGCTCATGATACAGGCTTGCGATCCAAACCAGACCCATCTGCCATGACATATACCTTATAACGTTCATCTTGACCTGGGACAACATTATTGCCGATCGGTGCCTAAGGAATTGTCCGACGCGGGAAGATAGCGAGCGCTGCTAAAGTGGGCATGATACGCATGGAGGATGCGCTAGGAACATTGGCAGGCAGGCGTCCGATAGAGATACTATCGGCTAAATCCCAGCGTTATCGGGAATCATCAACATGACGGAGACGCGATACGAGGGAGAGATGGACAGAGTTGACGAAGGTCCGTCAGCGAAGAAGAGGAAGAGAGGTCGACAAGCGAAGAGCTGTGTCGCGTGCCATCGGCGGAAGCAAAAGGTGCGTATGACGTAAGCAGTCGCTCCGAGCTTCGCGGCGCGATAACGCGTTGTGACGACCCTCCAACCCAGCCATCTTCGCAGCGCTTCTGTTATGAACGATTGCAATCATTCCACGAGCAATGCTCAATGCAGCGGATAGGTAGCTGATGGCCTACGCAGTGCAACGGAGAGCTGCCATGCTTCAACTGCAGCAGACGCGACGTTGCCTCGAGCTGCACGTACAGCGACGAGGCTGAAGCGCGTCGTCGGCAAACTTCACGGGTCGCCGCTAACCCTCTGAATGACGATATATCCTCAGAGAATCCTACAGGTACGTTTGTATCGGCGCTGGCCTTCACGCAGCAGAATGCGAGAGCCTTGTCGACACGCTCATTGCAAAAATAGGTGCTAATGTTACCGCGAAGACACACGGACCACTTCCACGCGTGCCAGAAACTCGCCTGAACCCAGAGACGCACAAGTCGGTAATCTCTTCCGCAGTCGAGATGCCCCATCCTTTTTTGGCTCATCCTATTTCGGACCTCAAGCTGCAGCAAAGATAATCGAAGAGCCCGCACCAGATCTTTCCTCCGGTATACGGCATGCTGCGGCCTCGGCGCAATCTTTCCGCGATGTTGGAGGCCCTTTTTCGCAGATCTGGGATCTCCTAGGTTTGCTGCCGCGCAACAAGGCCAGCGTCGATCGCCTCGTACACGTCTTCCTCGACGAGCTGAATTGGACCATAGACGCCATCCATCCCCAATCCTTCAAACTCAAGTATGACGAGTTCTGGGAGCGTAAATTCGGCTTCGATGACTATGCATCTATCGATCTCAGGTGGCTGGCATTGCTGTTCATTGTGCTTGCGTACGGTGTTTTCCTCGACTGCCCCCATCCAAAGAATGGCGAAGTGCAACGTGAGCTTCAAGAGACATCACTACGCTTCTACTGGGCAGCAAGACGCGCTATAGTCATTGCACCAACATTTTACGGAGAGTCGACAGATCTTGTTCGTGCCGGTCTTCTGGTCACACGCTATCTGATCCATTTGCGAAGAGTACCAGAGGCTTGGCTTACGACCAGTTTTGCCATGCGTATGGCCCAAGCACAAGGCATGCATATCGATGGCGAACGTTGGCGTCTCTCGCGTAAAGAGACCGAAACCCGAAGGCGTTTGTGGAGCCATCTTTACACCTTGGATAAAACTATCGCGCTTGCCATCGGTCGTCCCTTCGCCATAGTTGACCAGCAATGTCTCGTCAAGAGAGCCACCAACGTCTGGTTGGACGACCAACCGGATGAGGACACGTCCGCCATTCCAGAACTACCAATGTCTAAGCCGACGCTGAGCGTTTACAACTTTCTCGCACACGATCTGGCAAAGATTATCGGCAGCATTCAAGAGCGTTGCTTTGGTCTCTTTACCGTTTCGTACGATACCGTTGTTTCGCTAGACCATGAGATTATCGACTGGGAGGCAAGTTTACCAGACTATTATCATCTGAAAACCCCAGTTACATCTATGGATAGCACGCACCCCTTCCTTTACTGGAATCGCTTGCATCTCCACTCCATGTACCACTTCGCCCGCGTCACGCTTCATCGACCGTACTTGCTGCGCCAAAGTATCACCAATCGCTTCAGATATAGTCACGATGCGTGCATATCGTCGGCATGCGCAGACCTTGCCATGCGCATCGATTACTTCCAACAGCCATTGAATGACCGTCTGAAGTGGACTTTGGGTCCACACCACCTCTTCAACAGTGCTTTAGTCCTCGGAATAATCGCTGTCAAAGATCCACACTCGCCTAAATGTCGCGCGATACTAGAGGACCTCTCCGCATATTGCGAGATGCAAAGAGCCGATATCTGGCTCAATGAGTTCGCGCTAGCTGAGGTCAAAATCATTGAACTCTGCATCAAGAAAGCAAATCAGTTTCGTGCTAGTCGTACCGAAACACGTCCCAACACAGCAGACAATGCGCCACCTGCCGTGCATGGTGCCAATACCATCGACCTAACATCACCGTATACGGAAGATAGCTCGGTAACGGTGCCAGATCTGCCGGCGATAGGCGCAGGCGGGCCCTTCCAATGGCATGCACCTCCATGGGGTGACCCATCTTTTACGACCTTGTTTGAGCCAACCGATCTACAACACTGGGAGAATGTACTGGATAACATCACACAAGAGCAGATGCTGTTCGGCTTCCAATAGCGCATCACGCTCTGTAGATACTGCCGACCCCGCCAATTGTGCAGCCATGGTTTTGGCAGATCTCGTTGCTCTCTAAGAAGATGGTACTACTGTTCCACTTGTATGTCATGTAGCCTCGCTGTCGGTATATACTCTAAGCTTCCTCATAAGCTACGGGTGTAACCAGACTTCCCATACCATGACTCATTACAATCCTCAGATCATCTCCCGGTTTGAGCCATACCTTCGGCACCTTGCTGACACCAATTCCATGCGGCGTACCCGTCATGATTACAGTACCTGGCTCCAGCGTCGTTCCTTGGCTCAGATATGCCACTATTTCTGGTATGCTGAAGATCATATCGTTCGCCAGCGAATATTGCATAGTCTCGCCGTTGAGTACCGTCTTCAGCTCAATGTCGCCTGGGTTTGATATCGAAGACGCCGACACCAAGCATGGTCCCAGTGGCGCGAAGCCATCAAAGCCCTTGCCGAACCCCCATTGCGCGCCGTTGAACTGGTGGACTCGCGCTGTCACGTCATTCGAACATGTGTAGCCCAGCACGTAATCCATCGCATCTTCTTTGCTCACGTTCTTGGCTGGCTTCCCGATGACAACCGCAAGCTCGGCTTCGTAATCGGCCTGGCCATCTGTCGCCTGATGTGGAATGACTAAAGGCGCATTCGGCGCACCTAGGCATGTCGAAGGCTTAAAAAACAGCGTCGGGTGGTCAGGAAGGTCCAGGTTCATCTCTTTGGCATGTTTCCGATAATTCAGGCCTATGCAGCGGATGGTTCCGACTTCTGCTTTTGAAAGCGGTGGCAATAGTCTTGATATCGTGTAGGTCACTAGTGTTGGCTGGGCATCCAGGGAGAGTACCGATGAGCCTGTGAAAACGCGGACTTTGCACTCCGTTCCAGAGGCAAGGGCTGCGCCGACTGCGACTCGTTAGATACAACAGGTAGTGATTGGGAACCGACATACCATCCAGGTCAGCATCGATAGGCTCGCCGATGTGCTCAGCACCGTCCTCGGTCGCGACGAATCGCACTAAACGACTCCAGCTCTACTTCTTGTTAGTAAAGGGCTTTGATCATCCACGTTGATCGCGTACCGTCTTCATACCACTTACAATATCCATAGATCCCATGCTTTGAAGCCTTGTGAGATTGATTGCTGGTGTTCTGAATCGCTTCCAAAGACTGTTCTTGGGCCTGCTCCTGGGTACTTATTCCCTTTTAGTTCGCAGTGCAACAATTGATCTTTTTGCGACGGTGTGCATCTTCGCTGCTTATCGATCGGAAATTGATGGATAGGCCGACACCCCTGCTCGAGGGGGTCACTACCCCACCACTCATACGCGCAATGTCGGGTAACGTTATCTGAGGTGTTTGCTCCCGGTCCGGTTGATAAGTAGATGAAACGGGTAGCCGTAGACCTCCAAGCCTGTTGAGTCGTTTTATAACAAGATGAACATGCAACAACATCACTGCAACCGCTTCAAAGATGGAAAATAGCATACAATTGTTTGCGATACTTAGTAAAACGTCGCTGAAATAGTCAGATGGGTACTCTTCCTCTATCCCAGTCTTTACTCCTCGGTGCCTTTTCAACCTTCAAAACTGCTTCCGCAAAGCCTTCTGCGTGTCCTTCTCTTTCTTTCTTGCCCTCGCATCCGAGTTCAGCCTTTCCTGCTGCACGTGCGGTGGACGGGCATAGGTCTGCTCGTACTGTCCACGCAATGGCTCCATTATCGCAGGATTACCTACTTGGCCCATCATGCCCAAATCCATCATCGATCGCGAGTTGAACTCGTCGATACGACGTTCACCGGGAGGCACGTTCGCCAGGCTCGTGTCGATTGGCCCAAATTGACTGCGCCGGTTCAAATCGACGTTGATCCGCCGAGGTGTTGGTGGTGTCACCGTCATGGAGTCTGGCGAGCCCATCATTGGCCCTTGGGTCGGATTCATGACGGAAAGATGCACTGGTTGCTGTACCCACCCAGGCCCTTCTCCATGTTCGCTGAGCATACGCCTCGTCATCGGGTTGCGGCTCGCAGGAGGAGGCGGAGGACGTGTCGTGCGCGTCATAGGGCTCGCCAACTCCAAAGGCTTTGGTGGCACAGGAGGAGGCTGCTTGCGCACGTTCAGGGGCTCAGGCCGGAGTTCAGAACCGCACCTGAAACTATCGTTGTCCATCGAGCTTCTCACTCTCGATTGACAAACGCTAGGCGGAGTCACGGCATTACCGTTCACGTCCGAGATCTGGGACACAGTCGATTGATCCAGCGACATTGGCCTCGACTGTGTCATCGCTGCCAGTGAAGGTGACGTCACCGACCGCTGCGATGTAGATGGCCGAGGAGTGGCGAGCTCATCACTCTGTCGTCCAGGCAATTCTGTTTTCAGTGGCCAGCTCGTCTCAGGCATGCTCAGAACCGAGCGTGATGACCTTCGAGGCGTAATGCTCGTCGCCATCATTTGATGAGAGGCCTCAGGTACCGTTGGCGTCGCTGGGATCGTGGGAGTCGAACGCGATGAACTTGGGTTCATGACGTGCAAAGGCTGTCTCGACGGGAAAGGACTAGCAACGCTGCCCGTGTCCACGAATGGGGGTACATATGCTCGACCTGTTCCCTCAAACTCCCTAAGTATAGACTGTTCAGCCGTGGAAGAGGACTTGGGCTGTAACCAGCCTGTCTTCTTATTGACATATGTTGTGCCACTCTTCAGTGCTGCTTCAGCTATACCCTTGACGTAGAACCCTGGCCCTTTCTGCTCGACAACTTTGATGCCCTTGTTAGTCTGCCTGCTCTTATTGAAGACTTGCTTCAACAGATTCTGGGAGGACTTGGGCGCTTCGGGAAAGTTGTTGATGATCACGCTGACCGGAGCGTTAAAGACGTTTGTTACCGGGTCCTGCCGCAAGCCAGACGAGATCACGTCCGACGAACTGACAGCATCGGCAGCAGTGGCTGGCGGTAGGTGCTCAGCAGCAACGGAAGTAGCGTGCTGAGGTCTTGCAACAGGCTTACGCACAACACTCCCCTGAGAAGTGCGAGACGACGGTGGTCGAATAGCGGATGAAGCTTCGCTTGAATGTGCAGAAGAGGAAACGGGTGTGAACGGACGAGGTTCTGGTCCTTCCCGCTGATAACCATCTCGGCCTTGATGATTCCAGAGATCGGAGAGAGTGACCTGAGGTGTTGAAACGCGCTGAGGTGCCTGCGTTTCCTGGGCTGTGAAGAATGTCCCTCCGGACGATACCGTATTCAGCCGACTCGGTACACCACTTGCTTGCGACGATGGCGGATATGCGCCAGGGAACGAATCGCTTTGCGTAGACACATTGACTCCCTGCAGATGACTGCTACCAGCAGTTTGGCCCTGGAATGAGGACACTGAAGACACATTGCTGGATCCCCTGTTACCCAACGGGCGTCGAGACACGACACTTTCTTGCACAGGCGTCTCAGAAAATGCTCTCGCCACGCTGCGAGGTGCTCTACTGCTCGCGTAAGATGGAGGGTATGCTCCTGGAAGTAAGGGCGTCCTAGCGATCGGCCTTGAATCGAGCACCGTACTAGCAGCCGCAGAACCGGCCTGGGAAGGAGACGGAGGATAAGCGCCGGGATATCGGGGAGGCTCTTCACTAGTCTGCAACCCGTTCGGGATATCATGGGGTACTTCAAACGACTCCACTCTCCGCGCAGGGTTCTCTTCTATCGTCTGATACGACGGTGGACGGCCTGAGGAAACCGATCGGATGGACGATCTGCTTCTTTCGGAGGCCGGTGGCGTAGGAACTCCGCCCGGTGGGTGTAAAATTGTCGCATCCACCCTGTTGTGATCCATCGTGTGTGGGACGACGATACGGCCAGGGATTTGGGCTCGGGAATGTGTCGCTGATCGCAGACTTGCTGTTCGCGATGCGGATGCCTCTGAGATCGGTGTTAAAGACCGATAGAGTACATTCGGGTTGTCAATGACCTCCTGAGCATCGGCCACGCTCCTTTGTTGCTGCTCAGTGACCGGACCTGGAGGATATGACCCCATTGCCCCCAAAAATGGACGGTCTTCTGGATGCTGGGTAGCCGATGGCTCGCCTGATGGTGCAGAAGTTTGTCCTTGCTGGTTTACCCAGCGTAGCATATCCGCTCGAAGTTGCCCGACCTGTGCAACTTCCCGAGAATGCTCTTCATCTTGACTTTGTCTTAAAGCCATCTGCAGCTGCTCGTCTTCACTCAAGCCGCGCAAACCGTATGCCTCCTGAAGGCGCGCAGACTCTTGTTCATGTTGCCGCTGCTCAGTCTCGGCTGCTACCTTGCTCTCGACGATGACTTGATCCAAGATCTCTTGGCGTAATCGTGCAGCTTGAGCCCGAGCACGCTCATCTTTTAGAGACTGTAGTTCAGCTTTCCGGGTAGTATTGCGTTGCTGATCGGCAGCTAGGGCTTCAAGCTCCGACTGCTTTTGAGCTTCGAGAAGTCGTTGTTGGTCCGCCTCTGCCTCAGCATTGCGTTTCCGGTCCGCCTCTACTGTCACTACCCGGCTGACGGAAAGCGCAACAAGAACCTCCTCGTCCTCAACCTCGGATGGTCTTGTGACCCTAGCGCTCGTTGGACGCGGTGGTACCCCGGTCATCGTGGAAGCTCGACTCGCTTCAAGGGCAAGGTTCAGATCTCGTTCTTCCCTCATCTGAACATCGGCCGCGACCCAGGCCATGTCTTCCGGACCGTATTCTTCGTTCAAGTTGGACATTGCGACGATCGGAGTTTGGCCTTGGGGTCGCGCGATGCGGGCAGAGTCCGTCGGGTCGGCGCTGTCTTTTAGGCGCTTGTCGGAAGATGTGAGGGCGGGGCGATGTGCGAGGAGAGCGGTAGTCGCGGTACAGCCGGTGAAACCAAGACTTTGAGAGCGCTGGTGGGTGTAACGGTGGAGGGGAGCCAAGGTGCTTGAGTGTAAGAGACGGGCTATTTATCAGTAGACGAAGCACCCTCTGGGTGCCCGTGCTTACTTGCATCTCCTGAACGGGCCCATGGCGAGGTGATATAATTTTCGCAACGTCATAGCAGCTCTGGAGAGCCTGCAATGACAGACGCTGGCCATGCGTGGTCATAGCATTTTCCGGACAGTGAGGCAGGGAGCTCACTTGGCGTGAAGACCACTGGAAGAACCCCGAACATCGTAACCGACAAGTGATTTGAAAGCTTGGACTACCATATACTGTTGTATTGTATATACTGACGAAGAGGGTGGGCCGACTCAACCGTTGATGCGAGGTCGTAGCGCCAACATATAGCATACGAAATATCACTTTCCCCGCCCAAGAGGTTTGTGTGTCGACACATTCGTTGCTGTTTGCATGCGCGCTTGTATTTGGTGTTTGGCGTAGGACTCTTTCCGCTGACGCCGTTGCTCTGTTTGCGCGACCACTCCTGGTCCTCAGTCGCTAGTATTTAATCGCCCTCAAATTTGGTATTTGTCGCATTTCGACTTGGGTTTGATGTCCAGAAGCAGTCCACCAGCTATAGTCCACATCCTGTAGTCAACACGTCCACGACTTGCTTTCGGAACTCAATCATGCCTTCGACTGGATCTTCATAGTGCCAAGTAAGACACTTTGACACGACTTGCGCGTAAGCCTTTCCCATCTCTCTCTCGATTTCAGTACTGTTGGCCCAATCTAGTATCGCATTGTGTATACGATTAAAGAGATCCTGCTGCTGTACTATGCCGAAGACTGGGAACTTCTCTATGCGGCGGGCGAAGACTTTCGCCATCGTCCGCCATAGTCCAAGCTCTAGAAGAACCACGCCCAGTGAGTAGATCTCGTGCTCGTTGGAATATTCTGAAGATGGTCGGCCAAAACGGTCATGGTGGCGGTACAGGTTCGGCTCCAACGGGAAATGCGTGGCCTCGAGGGGTTGGAGGACACCCCAGCCAACAAAGAAGGGAGACAACTCGAGATCGTTAAACGATCTTGGCAGCATTACGATACTGCGCGACTGTACGTTCCCGTGAACCCAGCCGGAGGCATGCGACTCGAGTAGTGTGCTTGTCAGCGCTCTTGCGATGAGAAAGCGACTTCCTATTGAGGGTCTCGCGGTCGGGCCCTTCGAGATCATGTCATACAAAGACGGTGGGTTTGATGGCCAAGGATGGCTTTGCGGTGCGCGGTAGATGATCAGACTCCTTCTGTTGAGTGGATCATCGATGAAACCCATACAGCTTAATGTATGCAGCTGGTAGCCGTTCTGGGCGTCGCTCTTGACGGATACGTCAGTCTGATGAGGAGCCTGTAGCAACCACGTCAAATGACACATGTACTCAGCAGGCGTCTCGTCGTCCGATCGTGTTTCAACAAGAACGTCGACTTCATCTCCACCGTCATCGTATATCGTCTTGATAAGGCCATGCGATGGCTGCCCAGTGCTGATCGTTTCTCTGAGCGCGCCAACGAGCGCAGTATAGTCGCCCGAAGGTTCTGCACCTGCTCGATGCTGGCGTTCGAGTTGTTCTGCCACGCCAAGAATAGCAGCCTGCCTGGAATTACCGAATCCTGGATCCGGAGGTCCGATGCCAAGGAAGACAATTTCCAGAGTTTGACGAAGCCGATGTGTCCATTGCAAGCAATTCAAGGTGAGTGTGGCCATCTCCTCTTCTCCGAACAATGCTTTGTATAGCCCTGGCCGCGCCTTTTCTCGCCAGAGTTGCGAGCGTTCTTTCATTTCGTCTCTCCAGCTCTTCTTTTCATGCTGAACATCTAGTGACGCAGCGCGACCGCGCTTCAGATCCTCAATGCTTCTTTGCCCCGCACCGGGGGTGGGACTCTTGCCGATGTACCTCCACGCCTCCCGATGTGCGGCTAGAGACTTGTTGAGCGAGTAAAGAGAGTGCTCTACATCACTTGGTAAGATACGATGTAAACGACTGTCGCGTAAAACTCCGGTTAAGTCGCTGAAGCAGACATTCGAGAACACATCCAGGAACACAAGCGTCTCGTTTAAAAAGTTCGTTGTATTAGTCACGCCGCTTGTGTCTTTCGTGACGTCGCGGACAAAGATCAAAGTTGCGCAAATGACTACGGCGACGTTAGCATCGTGAAAATAACCCCATTGTCTCCTGTTCCGTGTTTGAGAGCAGACAAACGATTAGTCAAGACCTTTTTAGTTCAGCCATCTCTTGCACAATGTCGTGAAATACACGAAGCTTAGAACGTGGTAGGTCGTTGATCGAGGAGTTCAAGCGATTATTGACGGTGACACGTACGATGAAGGAGTTCGAGAGATGCGCTGACATGGTCCATAGCGTCCTCTCGCGTTTGAATTGCGTCGCAAACTGCCCAAAAAAGTTTTTCCTCAATCGCCGCTGATAGAATGCAATGAAGTCGCAGGAAGTGAGAAGTGCATTAGCGGCGCAAGCTGTCACAAGGGTGAGCGAACGGCAGTGCGGCGTCCCATCGTCGCGCTAAGCCACCACGCGGGCGCGTAGCACCCAGCTAAGATTAAGTTACCCCGCCGCCGCATGGCTGTTACGAACGACTACGAAACGTGATGGGCAGAATCTGACGTGATATGACGAAAACAAGCAGAACGAGATGAGGAGCTGGAAGGGAAGTGGGAAGATTGGCAGCTATCCAAGGTCGGGCGCGCGTTCGCGATGAGAACGTCATTGCCCGTGCACAGTCTGGAAGACACTAAACTCACCTGGGCAGTATGTGCGGATCTGACAGGACATTCGCATTTGCGTCGCCTCTTCTCTTCTCACGATTGTCAGTTTGCAAGATGCGAGACAGTCCACTTATAGGGCTTGGATTAAGTACATAGTCAGTCTACACTACCTTGGTACGCGCCAAACAGACAGCACGTGACTGACGTCATCGATCGCGCGAGATGTGCGGGCCCCCTTCCTTTCTCGACCTATGTTTTCACGATGCCAGGAGACCACCTTGCGAAGAGGTCTTCATAAGCTCAACATCTACGCGGCTTCTATCCTACGATATGGTGGCTGTATGTCATCTGGTTAAATGCCCATAATGTCACGTGGTATTTTCAAGACGTCCATCTCGATTAGAACCCGAAATTAGTACTCCTCCGTTTGCCGCGTTTCGCGCTGTACACGTCCCCAGTACTCGGTCTGCTAGGCTTGCTCCCTTTCGCATCTACGTCAGAGCTTGTGAAGCGCCGAATGAGTCTGCGTGCAAGACCAGGCCGCTTCTCTCCAGCTCTTTCCCGTTCCCGTTCCCTACTCCGCCCTCTTTGTTCGTGATCGATTACCTCGGGGATGCTCCCACCTCTACCTGCATATGATTCTGTCATACACGGTACTTGTGGTCTATCACGAAGTCGACCGTGCACGCCTGCCCTGCCAGAACGCCAGGAATAGCTTGAGCCGATCGACTCCGTTGGAGAAGATGGGCGTCCACCTGGTGACGCAGATATCCGCATGGGAGCGGATCGGAAGAGCCTCGCTGGACAGGCATGTATCGTTGAGTGTCCTTGCGATGGCAAGCCGGTCGAGCCAGTTGGTGGCAATGCTGTAGCCAAGTCGCCCAGGTTGAGGAAGTGCAGACTCGAAGAGGTTGAGCTGTGTGTTGAGCTGCGGACTAAGTCGTTGTTTGTCATGCTGGTGTCTACAGCACCTGCTGATGGTATTGTGTGAGGTAGATTTAAGCCAACTCTCTGGTTGCGGTCATCGCGATGGCTCTCCTCCGCACTCTCCTCGCCAGTGAAACTGGACGTAGTCGTGTGAAATCCTATTTCTAGCCCGGGTACGAAGTCTTGCTGCCTTTTACCGTCTGTCGAATCTCTTTCGGTCTGCGGGCGCGTTTGCCATTCTTGAGAAAACTGCCGCGACATCTGCGCTGCCAAGGAATGTGTGCCAATGACCTGGAATTGTAGAAAAGAACTCTGGGTGTTATTGCTAGCTCCCAGTACTGTGGTCGTAATAGAGTGATGCGATCAACACATTGTATGGGCAATGTGAATCAATGGTACGGTCCATAGTACCGTTGCCGGAGCGATTACCCACATAAGCAATCGCCGGAAGATAATGAAACAGCTCTATCAGTGCTGCGTTCGCAATGTAAGTGGGGCAGTCTGGTCGAGTGTGTCGAGTGAAAGAAAATAAAGATCTGATCCTCCGATGGTCTTGCCGGTTTCTATTGTCGCGCAAGAATGAAACCAAGCTTATGTCTTCATATTCCTTCCCTATATGTACTCCAGGTTTCGATACACTGGATTTCACTCATTGAGAAGCCCCGGCTTTCCGACCTACTACTGCAAAAGTCCAATATGACAAAGTTACTGGTCAGAAAGGGAAAGCATTCTCCCGATATGTCGGAACCGGCGTTATCAGGAGGGCTCTCATATTTATCTGCCTCCTCTGGCATCTTCCTCGACAAAAGCGGGTACGGCCTAAATAAGTCTCTTCATGATACACTGATGCGCTGGCGCGACATGTATTTGGGTGTGTAAATCTTAGAGTCTCTCGACGCGGGAACCCATTCGAGAGATGCGAATATCAAATTCGACCACGATAATCGAGTTAGCATAGTCTAGACAGTAGTACGCACTATCCTGGGGCCCAAATCGGGACCCACATCCTAGCATCAAGGCCGCGAACGTTGAGATTAGGCCACTTGCTGGTAACACTAGTGGAAGGGCATACCCGTGCGCTGTTGAGAATGTAGCCTCTGTGTCGAGTGTCGAGCAGACGATTTAGTTGTTTGCTTCAAGGTCGAAGCTCAAATGCGTCCT